ATCCCCCTGCAAGTTTATCTTCTGGTCTACGGCTGAGATGCTCGGTCTGGGACTCAACTGAATCTAAAATCACCATTTTACTCATCCCGGAACCAACTGATGGTGCGATAGACACAGAAGACCTGAATCGTGGTCATGGTCCTGTAGAACAGGAAATGCTGGATCAAAGGAAGCTAGGCTCTCTGGGGTCTCTACGCATTGAGCTGAACAGCAACCAAATGGCAAAAACACTCTACCGCTCCACCCATTTATTGACAACAGACTGCAGAGCAGCATTCTTCTTCCTATCTCTTTAACTGCAGTACGAAAGCTGCATAGGGTCACTAAAACCTCAACGTCTTATTTAATACAGGATTAGAATCAGAATCAGCTCTATTGGACAGGTGTGATGGACACATGAGGAATTTGACTCAGATATATCGGCTCTCAATGTGCAAACAGGCTGTGTAATATAACAAAATAGCAGTATTAACATCAACAAACAGTGCAAACAATGCAGAAAAAGCAGAATAAACAGACAGTAAACAATGCAAACAGCAAGGAATGGTCATTAAAATGAGATAAATAGGGATAAAACAGAGTACTTAAGAACTAGAGACCTGTACAGATCTGTGTAATCGGTACAATGTATATATACACAGGTGTTGCACTGAGGGTTATTGTCCAATCATACTGTCGTGGGTTAAGTGTTCATCAGAGCTACAGCCTGGGGGAAGAAACTGTCCCTGTGCCTGGTTGTCTTAGTGCACAGTGACCTGTAACGCTGTCCAGAGGGGAGGAGTTCAAACAGGTTGTGTCCAGGGTGTGAGGGGTCTGCAGTGATCCTCTCCACCCTCCTTTTGACCCGTGAGGTGTACAGGTCCTCCATGGAGGGCAGGCTCACACCAATGATCTTTTCTGCAGTCCTGACTGTCTGCTGAAGTCTGTACTTGTCCTGTTTGGTTGCTGAGCCAAACCAGACAGTGATGGAGGTGCAGAGAACAGACTGGATGATTCCTCTGTAGAACTGTATCAGCAGCTCCTGGGGCAGGTCGAACTTCCTGAGCTGGAGCAGGAAGTACACCCTCTGCTGTGGTGATGGTCCTGATGTTGGACATCCACTTCAGGTCTTGGGAGATAGTGGAGCCCAGGAACTTGTAGAACTTGGCTCAGAATTACTTCTGGACTCAAAACTCAAAGCTTAACATTACATAAAATTAAACAATTTCCCACAAATGTACGCTCTTAATTAAAAAGTGTTTACATCATATTACACACCACATTAAATGTCACCTTAAATACCAGGTCTCTGTTCCTGGGATGGAGTTAACCAGCGGACTTCTCTATAGTGTTAGTTCATTACAGATGACAAGTGTGGTCCTTTGTGACCGGTTTTGGTTGACAAAGAAAATGGCCCTGCTATGTAGCATAGCTACAGAGCAGCGCTAATAATAGCTGCTAACACAACTAATTCAGCAAAGCAAATAAAGGACCTAGATGCCTACCACTACAAAGAAGTTGCTGAGGGCTTCCAGCATCACTGGAGCATCAAACTACTGCCTAGTAAACTGTGAAGTGAGTTATCATGTTGTCAGTCCAACTGAAATTCTCCACGCTATGCTAATCCCCACAGAACTATCAGGGCTGAGGAATCTCAGACAGCAGAGATTCAGTTCATAGGAAAACAGTTAAATGAATTAGTAAATTAAGTTAGATGCTGTTGTGCTTAACACAGCACGCGTTACAATCTCAGGGGCTCCTGAACGTGAGTGCTACCTCAAGAAGAATGTTTGTCTGTGCAGATTCTCAGTCATCCAGGTCATAGTAAACTGAAAAAATCAACTGGACAAGATTTCTAGGTCACTAAAAAGGGGTGGTGGACTAAGACACAACTTGTCTTCCATCTACAACCCTGTTTTGAGATCTCTGCCCAAACATGCCCACCAGGACAATAGGTGTCGGTCGATAGGTGAGAGTTCAAAGAGAAGTAATGATGCTCACCGATACTGGACTATAATGACTCAGTCGTTAAGGGACATTGTTGGCCTTCTAAGGACTGAAACACCACCGAGGGGGATATATATGTCCGGCTCAACACCAGTCAGTCAGAACTGATGAAGCCTCTTGGATGAGAGGTGAAACGTCCTCGACCTAGAAATCTAAGTCCAGTTGATTTTTTCTAAGTTTTTTCAAGAAGATTGTTGTTCTTGACAAAAGTACAAAAACTACATGTTGGTAGCATCTACTACAGCCATTCTGCTGTCCTCTGCTACCAGCCAAGAAACAAAAGTCATACCTCACTGTCATGTTATGCTTATTTTAAAAACTTTTATGCCCTTCACTTCTCCAACAGGAAATTGAATCACTTCGGGGCTGGACTTCTGACCAATTAAGACATATGGAGACACCACCTTGACAACACTTAACCATCACATGTCTACTTCCAACTCTTCCCCTAACCTGAACCAAAAACAGACATCATGTCCTCACTAGGCAGAATTGGCCTCACAGAACTGGAATCTGCTGTAGGGGCCAAACATGCTGAACACACAAGCAACCTGACTCCGATAGAGTGGCTCTCAATGTGCCTTTGTAAGGCAACGAGAAAGTTTGTGCATTTAAATAGGAAAAATAAGTGAAAGAAACTGTATTTATACTGGGCTTATACTGGTATTTATACTTGCACTGGGCTGATGCTGTCTCCCTGTTCCACAGGCATGGGTTAACTGCCCATCAGAGTGACGTCCCAAGGGAAGAAACCATCCTAGTGCCTGGTTGTCTTAGTGCACAGTGACCTGTAACACCGTCCAGAGGGGAGGAGTTCAAACAGTTTGTGTCCAGGGTGTGAGGGGTCTGCAGAAATCTTCTCCGCCCTCCTTCTGACCCGTGAGGTGTACAGGTCCTCCATGGAGGGCAGGCTGGCACCGATGTTCTTTCTGCAGTCAGTTCAAAGTTGCTCTCAGCTGTGCCCTGAATCACTTCTAAGCTAAGAATCCTTGCTGTGTGTTTTTAGGCTAAGTTAAAAGCTCTCTGGGAGTCTGCATGACTGTGAATACAGCCCTAGGTCTACTGATGATTTCTCAACACTAGAATTGTCCAACCAATGAGTCAGCTCAGCTGTCGGTCATGTGACTTCATGCTCTTCTTTGTTGGTTTGTAAAACATCAGCAGTGTGAGCATGAATACAATAACAGATCCATTTTTATCTTTAGTCTAAATGAACAGCAACAACAACAGCTAACCTGTCAGACACACTGACACACACAGGTGTGCTGTATGTGCGCATACATCTCACACACACACACACACACACACACACACACACACACACACACACTGAGAACAGATCGTATGGAATTACATAGATGTTCGGGACAGATTGTTTTAGACACTGATCACTAACGCACTGTAAAACACAGAGTTCTTGGTTAAAGGAAACTTCCACTCAAAGTTCCCACTGATCAGAGGTCAGTGTGGTGTCTGTCGCGAGACTGAATCAAACACCACTGGTCCAGAATCTGAGCAGGGCTTTCAGATAATATGAAGGAGGAGGATGCACACGCACAAATTGCGCACATGTTGGGCACCGGTTGCTAGGCGACCAAAAGGCTTTCCAGGAGGTGGTTAGCAGATATTAACTACTTTTTCAAGCAGCACAGTTGGATTTACATATCAGCAAAAAGCTGGCTTTAGTTGTACTGATGAGGAGGAGGAGTCGAGCTGCAGCAAAGAAGAAGAGGGTGTGGGTCCACCACAATCAGCTTCTCCTCCATTTTCTTTGTGGTCTGTCAGGTTCTCTGCAATATGACGCGTCGAGGTGTCGTCACAGAGCGTCCACCCAAGTTGAACTTCTTTTAACTTCTTTGCACAGGGACGGCACGCAGGAACTTGCACAGCGCTCAGCTTGGCGCAGTGCACATATGTTCTTGTGCCGCACAACATATAGACATGAATGGGTTCAATAGCAGAGCGCAGCGCTCACCGCATCCTATCTGAGAGCCCCTTTACACTGTGACATGTGAGAGTGACAACAACCTGCTACTGTAGGACAAATCCTGTCCCTCATGAAGACATGCATGTCAGACTCTGACCCAGGACAGTAAAACTACAGAGTCCATGATCTTAGTCCCAGGTCTCTGCATTCTGAGACTGACACTCTGCTAATGCACAGTCTGCATGTGCTGCTTTTGTGTCATGCACAGAAAACGGACACTCTCCAATAAAACCAGACTGAAATTATAAACAGGCATTTTCACCATTTTCTGACATTTTAAAGACAAAACTACAACCGAGAAAACAACTGGCAGATTCGTCCATAATTAAGTTAATCAGTATATTTTCAGATAAACAAAAACCACAAAGCGACGGCACACACACACACACACACACACACCTGATAGTCACGTGATTCTGACTTTCCAGCGGTGACTCCTACTTCACAGCAGCAGGGCGCGCGCGCGTGCCTGCTGGAATGCCAGTCATTCAGTATGCAGCTGCGGGCAAACCCGTGCCATGCAGGGACAGGCTGCGAGCACCTCCCCCCGCGCACACACACCCCGTGAAAACTGTTATAAAACTGTTTCAGTGCCGCTGGAAAACAGAAACGGGACAAACCCACCTCCAGAGCCCAGATAAATCACACACAGCACACCAACCTGACACCGTTACAGAAATCTCTACTTTTAAACTCGCGGTTTTTCTGCCTAGGCGGCTGTGAATTCAGCAGCTGTGTGAATTTAACTCAGGGAACCGACACTGAACACTGACATGTAATTACAGGTCGAAACCCGAATTAAAGAGCCCCTCCTCTGATTATGTGAAACACCTTCTGTCACTTCTCTCAGCCTTACCCCTAACAGATAAGTGAAAACACCTAAAACAGGCTCATTTCTGAACGGAGCCTGGTGCGTTGCTGTCAGACACGTCGGACTCCAGCACTCCTTCCTTCCCTCCCGCAGCAGCTGCAGCTCGGGACAAGTTGGGGCCGTGAAACGGGGACAGTGTGATCTGGTCATACTCACCTGAGCTCAGCGGGCTGCTCCGCGATCCGCCGGGGGACACGACCAAAACCCCTCAGACTGCAGCTGAGAAAGAAACCTGCCCGATCCGCACAACAGGTCCGACAGAAACCCCGCCCCGCTCTGCTCCGCGCATCGCCGGTAGCATTTTCTAAGGCTCCTATGGTGCCTGGCTCACAAGGACCAGGCACACTGGAACTCTGAGCAGATTTTAACGGAACCTTCTGAACAGACTTGTGTCGAGTTTGAAACAGAATTGATATTTGATTAAAGCTACAGTATGCAACTTTTTCAAATATGATCCCAAACTGGTGGTTTTCTATACATTAATGGTATTTTCAGCTATCTCCATACAAAGACCAACCGACAATGAACTGCCTCTACTGTCCATCGGTGTGTCAGTCCCGGATGACCTTGTTCGTCTGTGCCATAGATCCTTTGTAGTTCAAAAATGAAAACACACCACTGTACTGGGGCCTATTTCAAGAAGGCGGTTTTGTTGAAACTCAGAGTTTGTTAACCCCGAAATGAGGGCAACTCTGAGTTTTCGGTTCCAGAAACGGAGGTAACTTAAACCCGTGAAAGCGGGGTAAGTTAAACCCGTTTCACAAAGAGAGGTAATCTAAACTCAGAGTCAGTTACTATGGCAACTTACTCTGTGAACCTAACCTGCTGGGGAGCAGGTTTTGTTCGGGAAACTCAGAGTTTCCTCCGGGTCTCCGCCCCTTTTTAAAGTGAAAGGTGTTTAATACCTCATTTAATCTTTCAGTACATTCATAGATTGCACACGTTTCCGTCACGCAGAGACCAAAATGGCGTGTCCATTCATAGAGGATCCTGTAGATGAGGACGCTGTAGTAATTCGCAGGGAATTGCATTTACGTCGGGAGAGGATATTGAGGCCACGAGTTGATTTTTTTTTTTGTCATATCCCCATGTATTTTTATTTGAGCGGTACCGTTTTTCTAGAGAGTCCATAACATATATCAATAATCTTATCCACCCATACATCAGACACATCACCCATCGTGGCCGTGCTCTTACATCCGAGCAGATGCTTTGTGTTGCATTACGATTTGTTGCAAACGGCAGTTTTCATTATAACATCGGGGATGCAGAGCACATTAGTAAGGCCACAGTATGTAGAATAGTTCGGAAAGTGTGCCTCACCCTCAAGCGCTTTCTGTGAATTTTTGTTGTGTTTCCTGGGCACAAACCCCTCAGAGCCATTAAAGAGGAGTTTCACAGGATTGCAGGTTAGTGGTATTGAATTCGTTTCAGTAAGGCTAATCTGAAAAATGATGATCAGTTAATAACATCTTGCTGTGACCTCTGGAAATAAACTAATAATTAGAATCCCCTTCAGGATTTCCAAATGTGGTTGGATGCATTGATGGCACACATATTCCCATCAATGCACCTACATGAAAATTAAAATTCAATTCTTATATTATTACATCAGTGTTGGGTAAAT